GCAATTTTTTTTTTTTTTTGGAAGTGTTGAGATTGAAATTACTCCTATATTCAAAAATACCCAGGGCAAAATTGAACCAGTAGCATTAAAGCTTCTTTACAACTGAGGATAAGGAGTTCTGATGAAAATGTTTTATTAAGTGTAACGGTGTTCCAAATTCTTTGCAGGTGTCTTACGTAAGGTTTTCTTCCTTTTTGTTTACCAATTCTTCCATCCTCACATTTATAATGTCATTTATTGATATGTAAGAAAGTGGTAACCAAGAACAAGAGAAAAGTGAAACCGTGAGGATCAAGAATTTACACAGGAACTTATAGTACCAAGCTCGCACAGATAGTCTGTTAAGTGATGCTTGATCATGGTTCAGTATTTCCTAGATTTGATTGATCAAGTTTACAGCATTCATCAATATCACAAATTAGGATTTCATATAATAATAGAAATATCCCAACGTGAAATATCCCATCAATATCCCATCATTAACAATGCAATATAACACAGTTCAAATGAAATATTCTAGAGAAGAATAACTTACTTGACCATAGCTGCTAAATAAGGCAGCAAGCCGCTCCTCAGTGATCTTTAAGTTTAAGAGGCAAGAGATCTCCAGTTAGAATCCTGGAAACTTACTAAAATATCACGTCATATCTAGCTCATCAATTTGATCCTTACATTGTGATCAACCTCAGAAACATAGACAGTTCGCCTAATGCTGTCTTCCCTTTGAGCTTTGAAAGCTCTGCCACCCCCTCTCCTCCTGCTTGAGTTGTTATTACTTCTTCTCTGACAAAACAGAAATAAGGGTGCAGAATCAGAAAAAAAGACGACCCAAAAAAAAAGTGTATTTGGAAGTAACAAAGTCTCTTTCGATAAACAAATTGAAGTTTATGAAGCGGACATAACTCGCCATATAGCATAAAAGACTACTTAAGGGATTCGGGACAAATAACAATTTAAGTAATTCATATTAGGATTTCGAATAATAAGAGTTACATGATTGCAATTCATATGCAACACAATAACAAAGGTCATGCATGTAAGTGTGGCTTGATATATTTCCAAATCTGCAACCCATGTACTTAACCCAGGATCATCATTGCAGCTTAATCTCAGGTTCACATACAACTAATATGCACAGTAGCTGAACTGTATATTTCTTGTAGCTGAAGGTCAGTCTACACATCTCCAAACCAAATTGATCCACTTATATGAACAAAAGTTAAAAAGTCCATATTCTGCAACTAAAATGTCGCAAACAAATTGTGAAAGAAGTTCACATGTTTGTTTCGGATTCAATGCAATATGCTCTAACAATACTTCATGAAGAACCAGATTTCACATAAACAGTCAATCATCATGATATGACAATCTAGATAAGAGAATCCATTCCGCAAGTATAAATCTAAGTCACTCTTACAACAGGAACAAACTTACAGCAGGAATAGAGTATAGGAATACATCCCCCACCACTTCGGTTCAAAGATGCCGGATAAAGTATGTGACACCCTAAACTTACACAAGCAGACTAGCTAAAAGAATAATAGTCCAAGTTCCAAAAGCAAAGACAAACAAATAAGGTTGTAAAACATAAGTCAAGACAATGCAAACAGGTCTACAGATTATCAATGTAGTGACTGTTAAGAGTATTAGGTTCGAACTTTCATCTTATATATATACACAAGCATACGATTGTGCTTACAGGTGTACAATCCAGAACTAATGGAACAAATATACCAAACAATACACAACAAACTGAAATGCCCAAAAGACAATAAAGAGCTAAGGAATTAGAACATCATCATCAACCACCACAAAAAGAAACTAATTCAATACAAGGGGCATGTTCAAAATCAATCAGAGTGAGCACAGTGTGTGTACTGTACCCTAAGGTTATTCTTAAAACCATCATTTCCCAAATTGTTATTGTAAAACACAAAACTGTAAGCACCCATGTGGCCATAATTATAGGATGAAGGAAAGAACTCCTTAGCCAGGGGATTCAGCTTCAGTATCTTCAGCATATCAACGATGTCGTTCACTCCAAGTTCCGATTTTGAATCGGCATTTGAGTTCGTATCAGAGCCCTTAACCTCATTGGTACCACCAGACTCCTCAGACATCTCAGAATATGAATTTTCAATTTTCTCCATGTTTTTTTCACCGGCAGGGCCACGGTCATTCGGTGATGAAGGTTCAACAATAGCAGCTGGAGAATTCATCTCCAGAACTGCTGCCTCACCAAAAACCTCTGCACCAGCGGCCATGGAAACGATGAAAAGATAAAAACAAAAGGCTGGAAATCAATGGCTTCAAAACCAAAAAGGACTGAAAAACACTAATTACAAAAAAGGTCTGATCTTTCTTATGTTTGTACAAATATAGAGATCAATCGAGAGAAAGTGATGTATTCCGCTCTGGTTTTCCAGATTCCCGTATGTGTATGCGTAGAATCTATGGAGGGCCTAAACAAAAACCCATGGTGTAAATGGTTAGCAATGGTAAGAACAAACAGAAAGAGAGAAAAACAAGATTAAGGGAGAGTTTCAACTAGAAGAAAAAGAAAGGCAAAAATTTTCAAGGGTTTTGTGTGTAACCAATTCTTGATCAGTAATGGCAGAGGTTTAGGTGGTCGTTAAGAGGATAACCAACATATGGGCTTGGCTTTCGGCTCCTTTAACACACACACCCGCACAATTTGGCCATAATTTTTACAAATACACCAACATATTAATTATTATACAGAGGCATGAATGCCTAGATGACCTGAAAGTGTACAAAGTAGAAAGGGCGTTATAAATTGAAGAATGAGCAAAAACGTAAAAACTATTGACTTGTTGTTTCCTCTCTCTCTCTCTCTCTCTCTCTCTCTCTC